ATGGACGGGTTTAGCCAGACCGTTTCCAGGCACAACCTCCCACCACACGGCAAACAAAGCATTCAGTCAGCGCTGACATGGTCGCCACACAGCTTGGACCAAAAGACTGACTTTTTCCAACGTTTCCAGCATGCGCTGCTCTGGCGTTTCTTGCTACAGTAGCTGGGGTGTGCAACAACCCTGCATACAGCAAAAGTGCAAGAGAAACCATTCGCTGCAAATGACTGACTTGAGGGAGTATAGTTCACCCATACCTATAATTACACAGCATGGCGGATACAAAGGCATCAGCATTCTCTGCTTGCAGACGAAGACATTGGTCAGCCAGAGTCTTGAAAGCCTTCACCTTACTTTCTCCTCTTGTCCCGAGTGCATTTGCTGGCCTGGCCTGGCCCGCCAGGCACGTGGTGGGATATGCTGTCGAAGTGCCGCCGACCGGTGCGGTGCCTGGAGGTCAGATGAAGCCCCTTCAGCAGGAGAGGCTGCCACCTACCAAATCACAAACCTGAAAACTCGACCCAGTTATAGTTTGTAAGGTTCTTGTTTCTGTTGGATGAGTTCATCTTGAGGGTCCCCCTCTCGGCTTTGGGGGCAAAGAAGGTGAAGAGACTGTCTACGGAGTTTCCAGGGTGCCCCTACCACAAACACAACTGAACGGTGCATGTTCTAATAAGCAGCCACAAGTGAGTTCAAAGAATGTGAAAGGCACTGTTTCACCCAATTAGACCACTTGGAGACTTTATGGGCAATACTGTCGGTTTTCTCATGTGTTCTCTATCTTAGTATGGTGGGAATTTGGGGGAGTATCACCGAAAGCCACCAATCACTTCAGGACTGTAGGAGTTCTCTCTGCTATAGGGAAGAATGGGAGGACCACAACATTACATGGGACTCTACGAACTGAGATGTCCTGAAGGTCGAAAGCACATCACATCACAGCCAGAAGCACCGGCATGTTTAAGCAACACTCGCCTCAATCACACTAGCCAAATTTGCAATAACAATCAGAAAATGACTCTCCAAAACAAATCGCTGTTCACAACCCGCCCCTCAATGAACACACAAAGAACCTGCAAACTTTTTTTTTGCACAGAAGGAACTACAGTCGCACAGATTCCGAAGGCAATGGTGGGAACAGAATATTTACGAACGTTGAACTATTGGCATATTGGTCTTCTCGCGCCCTTGCACACTTCACATGATGCAAGCAGCCTGTCCCCAGGCTTGAGCAGCTGGCTTTCACACAGTTCATTTTAACATGACACCGACCCCCCTTGAGGTTCGTTGCGGCAGGATAACGTGCGCACCGTAACATTCACACATTCACTTCTGGCAGCTGCCGTCCGGAAAACAGCCTAACAAAAAGGCATCTTTAAGGGGCTGGCTCCAAATCAAGACCGTCATTACGAGCAACATCATGTATGCAACCCGCTTGTAGCACCACAGCTGGGACAAAGAAAAGACTTACGTACATGCAGAGTTGCAGAGCCATGAAATCACCACAGAATAGTTGCAAGAGGTTGACAGCCCCATGCCTCCATCTTCTGGACCATTTCGTCAAGGGCCTCCCTGACGTCAAGCACATTGCGGCTGGAGTAGACGTCTATCCGTTGCCCACAAGCCTGCTCATTCAATCCTGTGAGGCTGAAACGGACTTGGCCACCAGGATGCTTCAGAAAATGTATAATTACCGAATGGGCTGTAGACTGCAAGCCAAAGTTCATCAAATAGGTTGCAGTCACGAACTATGGCTGGCACACTTGATGTTTGAGAAAGAACATTGCCACGACTTCTTGAATTGACAGAAACGCATCATCCCGTGCTTGACTTCTACCCGCACTGCTTCGTGAACCCAGTCTACTTCGGAATAGGTTCGTAAAGATGATCAATTTGGGTGGAGCAATCGATCCACTTTAAACGCAATCCGCTCGATTCGTAGGCCACGTAGCTGTGGCGCCATGTGGTTCAATGGCACCCCCTGGTGTGTTCCTGGCATGCGCTCAGCCCTTCCATCTGCTTTGCCAGCCAAGTGCTGACATCAAAATCGGACAGATCCACGCAAGACACAAGTTCGCAGTGACCTCTTGTCAGGAACCTCTTCAAAATTTGAGAGCGTGCCGTTTGCCAGCATCCTTGTCCAGCAGCACCTTCGACAACAATGTGATGACCACCACTTCCTGTTGACTTGCCAGCTCCGGTAACTCCAATGTGAAGGTCATGCTTTATCAAGTGCACGCTGTCTGGGCTGAAGATTGTGAGATACAAATCATCAAATGAGCTTGGTCCCGAAAACCTGACCATGGCAGCTTGACTTTTTGAAAACACATGCGCCAACACATCTTTGCCCTGTTCCAACTCATCTGTGCACTTTTGCACTCAATCTTGCAGGCATCCATGCTGAAGTCATACTCCTCCTGTAAAGCTGACCGGTGAGCCCCGTTGCAACACGTCCCTCGGGTAGGCTCGTCGATTCTGCTGTGCGGATGTAATCGCGCCAGCTCCATTTTGCAAAGTTCTTGCAGGATCGTTCCACGACGTGCCCCGGACAACAAGGACAACGCATGCCCCGCATGACCCACAAAAGCCTCGCTGGTCCGCCCAGGATCATTCAGAATGTGCTGGAACTGCGAGGCACTAAGAATCAAACATCTAGACCGCGATCCACCATGCAACCTGAAGACACTTGCTGCAAACACGCCTGACCGTAGCATCATGGCTTGCAAACCAGAATTCTGCGCTAGTCCAGTTCATTAGAAAACAGCTTAGCCACGGAGGACTTCAGCGAAGGGACCAATACATCAGGGCCAAAGCTGGAAAGAACAAACATATAATTAGATTTTGTGGGGTCATTTGTGGGTATAGTTATGATGTTGGCAACATAAATCATGGTCGTCCGCAACAATGACCCGGCACACCTCAGAATCTTTGGATTTTCCTGGTGGGCTTGACCGAGACAAACAAATGTTTCGGGGACTGCAAGATCTGCACTGCTCTTGGCGCCAACCCCAGCCAAAATGAGCAAATGCAACAAATGTATGGACTGAACTTCCTGTCCCAAGAAGAGCAATACGCAAGTCTTTGCACCCCTTATATAGAAGGAAAACTACGATATGGCATGAGCGTTGCGCACATGGAGCCACGCATGGCAGCTCAGTACATAGTTATGAAACCAGGAGCAATGGCGACCCCCCTGCATAGACACCTCCTTGGCTCTCACGGCGGAACATCACCGCAGCACGGCCGTCCCTTCGCCCCGCCTAGCGCCTTTCCAGCAAACATATGACCGCCACCTCTCTGGTGCTGACCTTGGTGACACGTTGGGCACGTGTGAGCGGGACAACCCAGTGATTCAAAACCAATAGCAGCTATGGACAAAAAAGACTGTTTGCAATCCCTCTTGTATATGGTTGGGAAGTTGGGAAATAACATTTTCCTTGGCTCCTCTGACTCCTCTGACTCTGGATCTATCGGTGTCTAGGACCGTTGAACAAGGTCAAAATCCTGGCAATTTTTCAGTGTGTTGGCAATCCCGGGTGACTTTCCTCTGAAGACATGAAGCCTTGAAGCCTTGAAACCCTGCTGACGACCTGAAGCCTGGTGACGACCTGAAGCCTCTTCATGTCTTCGCGTGTCTTCGTGTCTTCGCGCAAAAGTCACAACCCGCTTCTGCCAACGCAATGCAATCTTTGCTGTACTTTGCCATCTATACCCACAGAAACCGCTGCATTGAACAAAGCCGTCCCAAATGGCCTGCATATCCTGGTCTTCTACTGGGGGTCTTGCGCCTTGCATCAGGAACTTCCTCGGTCGACCCATGCTACCACGCGCTGTGAGGAGGGCGTTGCGCACAAAATATTGCCGTCTGGAATATATGTGGTTTGTTTTGAATCGGTGGCGTGCCCAACCTTCACTGGTTTCAAAGGCTAAGCTCCCAGAAACCATGATCCCTCTGGGTGGAGGCGGCACAACAACAAGGCTAGCTGTGCCTTGTGCTGGCTCTTGCCTTGGCTACAACTCCCAAGGGTCGCATACTACACCCTAAATGCAGCCCACCCACTGGATTAAATTTGGAAGATTAACAAACAGCTTCCATGTGCCCCAGGTGGTGTGTGAACTCGTTCATCAAAGCATCGTGCTTGTCTCTACTCGTCCCCTAATGCTGGAATCAACGGTCTTTAGAAAAGCTCATGTAGAAGACCAGCTGCTTACTACCCAAGTTTCCACCTTTTCATGTCCACGTTATGGGAAACCAATCCATCAATAGATCTGCATCAGGTGTCTCCACATCGAATTTGAATCCAAGAGACTCATGTATATCATGTACACAGAAGGGTGCCGTCTTATAAAGTCGATCCTAAAGGCCATCGCAATCGTAGCCCCAACGATCATTTTGAGTGGTGGATCCATTGAAATCATGTTGAGGTAGAAACGGACCTTGTGATCGTATAGGTTGGTGCACAGGTAACAGCAACCGCTGGGGCCAAGGGGTGAGTGGTCTGTCTTATGCGGTTCACACGACTGGCAGCGGCATGTGTACAAGCTTGAGCCGCCTTCGCGCGGGGCTTCTTTACTGATCTTAGTCTTGACACGACAGGTCTTGAGGTTCCGATGTGAAACACGGTGCTCTCCATTGACTTCTGGCAGCTGCCTTCACTAATTGTACTGGACGTTCAATGGCATGGTATCAGTTTCCTCTGGCTCATGAGAACAATGCTTGGTTCAGGAAAGGTGTATATGGCAGGAACTGGCATCACCAAACAATTGTTGCAAGAGGCTCACAGCCCCAAGTCTCCATTTTTTTGAGCATTTTGTCTAGGGCTTTCCTGACATCAATCACATTCTGGCCGCCCAGGACATGCATGTCTTTTCCAGAAATCGCTACTTTCAAACCACTGAGGGACAAATGGACGTTGCCACCAGGATGTTTCAGAATATGAATGCCGAAGGGGCTATAAATTGCAAGCCACAGTTCATCAAACATATCACGTGCACGAACTCCACTGCTTGCACACTGGATGTTCGAGAAAGAGCATTTCCAAGACTTACCGCCTTTGTTGAAACACATCTGCCCGTGCTTGACTTCCACTTTCACACCTCCACGAACCCAGTCTACTTTGGAAGAAGCCCTTGAAAACGAGCAATTGGGATGGAGGAGTTGATCAACTTCGAAGGCAATCTGCTCGATTCGCAAGCCACGCAGCTGGGGCGCCATTTGATTGAGGGGCACCCCCCTTGTACTCACTGTCCAGGCATGGTGATGTTCCTCCCATATGCTGAGCCAACCAGGTACGGACTTCTGTGGCTGACAAATCTATGTGAGAGGCAAGTTTGCAGTGACCTGCAGCCAGGAACTTGTCCAGAATTTGCGACCTTGCGGCTTGCCAACATTCTTGCCCGCTAGCACCAGCCACAACGATTGCATGCCCCCTTGTTCCTGTTTCCTTTCCACATGTTGAAACTCCTGTATGCAGGTCATGCTTGATGATGTGCAAGCTGTCCGGGCTGAACAGTATTAGATACAAATCATCAAAGGGCACCCGATCCCTATATCCTGGCCATTGAAGCTTGACTCCGCGAAAGTTGACAAGCCAACATTTCTGCCTTTCCCTCCAAGACATCCGCGCACTCTTGCAGTTGATTTGGCGGCCATTCATGCTGAAGTCATACTGTGCATGGTAAGCTGACCTGCGTTTGCCGTCGCAACGAACTCCTTCAATAGGGTCTTCGATTTTACTGTTGGGGTTTAACCGCACCAGTTCCTTCTTGCACAGTTCTTTCAGGAGTCTGTGCCGCTTCGAGCACAGCATTGACAATTCATGGCCAGCATGATCAAAATAGACTTTGCTGGTTCGCCCGGAGTCATTCAGAATGTTGTGGAACCACCAGGCAGGTAGCTTTAAATGACACCTCAACTGCCATCCAAAGTTAAAAGCAAATACTAAAGCAATAGCGACAGGCACACCTGGCTGCAACATTACGGCTTTCGAGCTAGAATTCCTCGTTGGGCCACTCCAAATTGGCTGCGTAACTTGGCTGAGCCAAGAAGGCAAGGCTAAGAAAACCACTACAATCCCAAACAACATTCCTACGGATTTACAGCAAAGCAGTGACACACCCCACATGGTTCTAGTATGTTTGTCTTTCAGCCGCTCTGTCTCCAAACTGAGCGATTCAACCCGGCCCGTTCCTTGTTGAAGATTCAACCAAACCTGACAACCAAACCCTGTTTCATCACATCACATTCGGAGCACGTGGCTTCACGGGTGCTCTTAAGAGGCTCTTAGCAGCGCAGCCCAGCAATAGACAGCTCATGGTTTATGCACCGGCCCCTGCTGCAACCCTGCAAATGGCGTTTGGTCCTTTCTCTGGCAGTGCGAGTAGTGGCAGTGCGGTAGTTTATATACATGGAACTTGCGCGCTAGCAAGCTGGCGGTGAATCAACCGCCGGTGTCCCAAAGGACTGTTGCAAGTGGCTGGCAGCCCCAACGAAGTTCCATCTGCACCAGCATTTGGTAAAGGGCTTCCTTGACGCCAAGAATGTATCTGGGCGCACGCAGGGCAACCCGTCTTTCATTTGGACCCTGCGTCACGCATGGGTCAAACTTGCCAGGATGTCTGAGAATATGTAGCCCAAAGGGACTGTAGATTGTAAGCCAAAGTTCGTCAAACAGGTTATATTCACAAGAATTATCTCCTGCACTCTTGATCCGTGAGAACCCACAGTACCAACATTGCCTGTCTCGGTCAAACAGCATCTGTCCGTGCTTGCTTTCGACTTTCACATCTCCACGAACCCAGTCTACTTTGGAAGAAGCTCGTGAAAATGAGCAATTGGGATGAAGGATTTGATCCACTTCAAAAGCAATCTGCTCGATTCGCAAGCCACGGAGCTCTGGTGCCATATGATTCAGTGGCACCCCTCTGTATGCACGGTCTTGGAGTGCCGCCATTGCTTCCGATTGATTTGCAAGCCAGCTGCTGATTTCAACATCCGATAAACTTACCTGAGCAACAAGCTTGCAGTGACTCTTACTCAGAAACTTGTCAAATATTTGAGACCTTGCAGTTTGCCAACATTCTTGTCCACAAGCACCTCGGACACGAATTTTATGACCTCTGCTTCCCGTTTTCTTGCCATCAGAGGTAACCCCGGTTCGAAGGTCATGCTTCAGAATGCACAAGCTATCTGGGCTGAACAGTGTAAGGTACAAATCATCAAACAACATCCGGTCCCGAAAAGGCTTCCATTTCAGCTTGACACCGTGAAAGCACACATACCAAAACTGTTTGCCTTTGTCCCAAGCCATCAGTGCACTCTTGCATTCAATCTTGCGGCCATCCAAAGTGAAATCATATTCAGCATGGTAAGCAGACCTGCGAGTTCCATCGCGCCGAGTTCCTTCAGCAGGTTCTGCAACTTTGCTGTTAGGATTCAGCCGCGCCAGCTCCTTCTTGCAAAATTGCTCCAGAATTTTTCCGCGACGCGTCCCGGACAGCACGGATAACTCATATCCGGCATGTCCAACATAGGCTGCGCTGGTCAGATCTGGTTGTCTAAGGATGTGCTGGAACTGCGAAGCGTTCAGCACCAAACGCCTCCACTGTTGCCATCGGACACCAAGTGAAAATACTACAGTTGCTGCTGGCAGCATGAGGACTCGAGCCAGGATTCTTCACTGACGTGAGGTACCTCAATCACCTGACATGCATGACCGAGACAGCAGCTAAAACAAACATGAACTGAACTGCAGGGGTTCTTGTTAGCCGGAATGTGCAATTACCATTCACCTAGCGAAGGTGGTGCAAGGAAAGTTGTCTGAAGATATTTTGCAAGGTCAGAAGTCAGCACAGTCTCTTCGTGAACCACCCTGAAGAGCAAACAAATCATTTTGCTGCAAAAGGCCACTTAGCTAAAGAGCTGCTGTGATCCTTAAAAACACCTACCTCACCATGTTCAATATTATCTACCACGTTCTCTCTACCACTTTCTTGAATCCCTCGAGGTTACTTTTCTCTCCCCTCTTCCGGAGCACGGTGACTAGCCTTGCCTGCCACTGTCTAGCACATTTGCTGTCGAAGCCTCGTCACTCGGTGTGGTGCCTGGTGGTGGGCGCGAACCCAAAATCACCAGTGAATTGTTGCTAGGGGCTTGCAGCCCCACGCCTCCATCTTTCGGAGCATGTTGTCTAGCGCCTCCTTGACATCAACTGTACATTTGTTGCCACTGAAGACGTGTATTTCTCTTCCTTTATCGATATCTTTTGCACCCGTGCGGCTGAAGTGGACTTTGCCACCAGGATGTTTCAGAATATGAATGCCAAGGGGGCTATAGATTGCAAGCCACAGTTCGTCAAACATATCACGTGCACGAACTCCACTGCTTGCACACTGGATGTTCGAGAATGTACACTGCCAAGACTTGCAGCCCTTGTTGAAACGCATCTGCCCATGCTTGCTTTCCACTTTTACACCTCCACGAACCCAGTCTACTTTGGAAGAAGCTCGTGAAAATGAGCAATTGGGATGAAGGATTTGATCCACTTCAAAAGCAATCTGCTCGATTCGCAAGCCACGGAGCTCAGGCGTCATATGATTCAGTGGCACCCCCTTGTATTCGTGGTCCTGGAGCGCCGCCATCCCTTCCAGTTGCTTTTGGAACCAGGAGTGCACTTCCGTGGCTGATAAATCTATGTGAGCCACAAGTTCGCACTGACTTGAAGCCAGGAATTTGTCCAGAATTTGCGACCTTGCGGTTTGCCAGCATTCTTGCCCACGCACGCCTTGGACACGGATATAGTGACCATCCCTTCCTGTTCGGAGACCGTTTGATGAGACTCCTGTCTGAAGATCATGCTTGATGACGTGCAAGCTGTCTGGGCTGAAGATTGTGAGATACAGATCGTCAAATGGTGCGCGATTCCGGACATATGGCCATTGCAGTTTCACACCCCGAAAGTGTGCTATCCAAAGTTTCTCCGACCTCCTCCAGGTCATCTGTGCACTTCTGCAAACTATTTTGCGGCCATCCACACTGAAGTGATACCCTGCCTGTGAAGCTGACCCATGAGGCCCGTTGCAAGGATTTTGTCGGGTAGGCTCTTCGATTGTGGCGTGTGGATGCAGCTGCGCCAGCTGCTTCTTGGAAAACTCTGCCAGAATCATTCCACGCCGCTTGGGAGAGAGCAAGGACAGTTCATGACCAGCATGGCCTTCATAGGCCTTGCAGGTCCGCCCAGAATCATTTAGAATGTGCTGGAACTGCGAGGCAGGCAGCACCAAATAACACCTCAACTGCCATCCAAAGACAAACACTGCTACAATGACTACAGGCACACCTGGCCGCAACATGAGGGCTTTGAAGCCAGAAATCCCCTCTTAAGTGAGGCAATCGCCCACTCCACTTCAATGCATCCGCAAGAGTCTTCCTATTTACAAAGGAGGGCCTTTGGGAAATCTCTGGAGCTTTGAGACATGCACTGGACATGGAAAGGGTAGGGCCTCATCTGGTATTCCTTCGCTTGTCCAGTGGGCTTGAGTGCACCTGGGCCTTGAGAGGTCCCTGCATGCACTGAATGAATTGCATCTAGCTGATTGGGCTAACGGTCAGCCTCAAAAGTCCCAAAAGGTGCGCCATGGACTAGGGAGTGGACAGGGCAATTATCGCTGGATTGGTATATTATCGCTGGATTGTATGGGGTCATTGGTGGGTAGTTATTTAGGTTGGTTAATAAAAATCATGGCCATCCGAAACAATGACCCGGCACACCTCCAAAGCTTTGGATCTTCCTTGTTTGCAGGGTGGGCTTGAAAGAGACAATCCAATGTCTCGGGGACTGCAAGATCTGCACTGCTCTTGGAGCCAAGCCCGGCCAAAAATGAGCAAACGCAACATCAAATGCATGGACTTAACTATGACTTAACTTTCTCCCCAAAGTAGAGCACTACGCAAATCTTTGCACTGCTTACCAAAGAAACTGCAATGATGCCATTATGACATCAGTGTTGCACACATGGAGCCACTCATTGCAGCTCAGTACTTTGAAACCAACAACCAACCCTTTCCTCTATAGACACCTCCTTCGCTCTCACGGTGGGACATCACCCCAGCATGGCCGTCCCTTCGCCCTGCCTGGCGCCTCTCTGGTGGCCCCGTTGGCCCAGCGTGAGCTGTAAACGGCGTAAAGACAGTGTCACAGAACAGGTGCCATAATCCTGCTTGATGGCAGCTGTCGGCTTTGCAATCTCTCGTGTATGGTTGGGAAGGGATCAACATGTTACTTGGCTCCTCTGGATCTGTCTGTGTTTAAACCATTGAACAAGATCAAAATCAAACAATGTTTGCGGCACTGTGTCATCTATGCCCACAGGAACCGCTGCATTGAACAAAGCCGTCCCAAATGGCCTGCAGGTCCTGATCTTCTTCTGCAGGTCTTGCGCTTGCATGAGGAACTTCCTCGGTCAACCTGTGGAAGATTGCGTATGCAAGTCCATGTCACCACGATGTGGCTTATTTTGAATCGTTGGCGTGCCCAACCTGCACTGTTCAAAGGCAATTCTCCCACAAATCATCATCCCCCTGGGTGGAGGAGGCGCCAACAAGGCTAGCTGTGCCTTGTGCTGGCACTCTTATCACAACATTTTGGCTACAACTCCCAAGGGTCGCACAATGGTCCAAACGGCTACCGCAAGCTCCAGGTAGTGTGGGAATTTGCCTGACTTTGGAGGTTCTCCTCCCCCCCACATAACAGGCTTAACATCTGTATATAAAAGGGCTCATGTAGAAAACCAGCTGCTTGTCACCCAACTTCGCACCTCTTCTCTTCATATCCACGTCAGGAAACCTATATTATATTTCAGGTGTTGTGACATCGACTTCGAACCCAAAAGGTCCACGAGTCTCATGCCGAAGGGCACCCGTTCTCCGCCATGGCCCGGCCTTCAAATCGATCCCAAGGGCTCTCTCTGGCAATCAGGGCCTCGATGACCTGCACGGTGATGCTTGCTTGGGCTGCGGTTGAGAGCCCTGAGGATCCGTTGAAACTGACCTCTTGAGGTGGAAACGCGCCGTGTGACTCTAAATCTAAAGGTTAGTGCACAGGTTCAACAACTGGTGGGCAAAAGGGGGGTGAATGATCTGTCTTCTGACATCTATGGGCAGCGTTCCGATTGGGCAGGATGCCATGCACTCAGCGCAGTGTTTGTGCATTGACGTCCAGCAGCCGCCATCACTATGATTACCGCGTGGAGGAACCATGGCCTTGAGAACTCACCTTTCGCTGCTGAAGGACTCATCGAGATCATGAGAAAAAAGGCTCGGCTCGAGCATCGCAGCTGCAGGAAGACAAAGGGCACCTTATGCGAGTAACCGTGAATCACCAAAGAATTGTTGCAAGAGGCTGGCAGTCCCATTCCTCCATTTTCTTGAGTATATTGTTAAGCGCCTCCCTGACGTCAAGCACATTTTGGCTGGAGTAGACCTGCATCTGTTGTCCGAAACCCTGCTCCTGCAAACCTGTGAGGCTGAAGCGGACTTGGCCACCAGGATGTCTGAAGATATGAATGCCGAGGGGGCTGTAGATTGCAAGCCAAAGCTCATCAAAGAGGTCGTGGTCACGAACACCACAGCTAGCACACTTGATGTTTGAGAAGGAGCATTTCCAACGCCGGCTGCCTTTGTCGAACCGCGCCATCCCATGCTTGACTTCCACTCTGACCTTTCCACGTACAAGTTAATTTCATGCTACCTAGCTGTCAATTTAGACTGATCAGCTGTCAATGATTGAGGTGCTCAGCTACCATATTTCATGAATAACATGAGTTTGCATCATGCCAGCCCAGTGTAAAGTCACTGAAGAAAAACAAAAGATTTGGATTCACTAGCCCAGATTAAAGACTCTGAAGAGGAGACAAGCCCAGAGTAAAGCCTCTGACAATGAAAAGAGAGTTGGATTCAATGATCTGTCATCTGTCGTTGTTCAAAAAAGGGCTCAGCCAGAGGGCCTGTTTGTATACTCTGGTGGGTGGGAATCACTTGAAGTATTCTCTTTTAGCTCAAACGAAGAAACCATGGAAGACTCGTTCACTTCCAAGGGGTTGTTCCTCGTTCTGCAGAAAATTGGGACATTCAAACCCAAACCACGAACTTCAAACAACAAAGAAGCAACATGCTTCCTGTCAAAAAAATCAAATAAACACATAAGTTTCGATGAGGAAAACATTATGAAAGAATCGTGAAAGCATCTAAGCCTGTCTTGCAAAGGACGCAGTGGCACCTCTTTCGAATTTAGGAGAAAGGGAACTACGTAAACTTGGCAGTGCTTGGCAGTTTGCATATTGCGTCAGAGTGGTCTGGTTGTTTGTGTTTGGCGTCATACGCCCAGATGTGTATTTTGTTGTTGCATTTATTTTAGTTTTGTTCTTCTCTGAGGTGATGAAAACTGTATTGGTTTCCAAACTTTGCAAAAAAAAGGTGACCAGAGCAACAAGAAGTCCAAACGACATGGTGATCGTGATGACGACAACGACCCGGTGGACCCTGATCTAGCAAGAAAAATGGGAGAACCGTTCCTTGAACAGTTTGGCTCACTTTTTTAAGCATGGCTATGAGAACATGGATGACGTAACTCCCGCTTACTCATCTTGAAAATCAGGAGGCTGGTGAGGGGCCATGTGATATGTTAATACAATGTTACAAATATATATATTCACATAATACTTTGCACGTGGCAAATTAAGGCGACCAAATCCGTCAACATATGAGCAGCTGTGGAATTGGGCCACCTACTTGCTGCTTCGCTTTGAGTTCCTTGATGTGGGCAGGCAATCTTTTATTGTGGTACCACCCCACACCTTACTTTGAGATGAGAAACAGAGTCTTTTTGCAATACATGATTCTAGCAGAGCAAAGATCCTATTTGGACCAAATGAAGTCCAAAGAGCGTTGAAGTCACAATGCCTTCGTTTGGATTCTTTTTTCACTGGCTGCGATTTTCCTCATTGGGCCATGGAGCAAATAAGCAGTGCTGTCAAGCGCAGGCACCATGACTGCTTTCGTTTTGTTCAAATTTTGCATTTAAACTTTCTCTTTTGGCCTCCCGTGTCTGACCAAGACATACTGCATAGCAACACAATACGTTGTCACAACATGTGAGGTATTCATTCACATTAGACTACGTGACTGGACGGGCATGCGACATTTCAGCAGGATCCAAGAAGCCTTTGTTTTTGTTGGTACAAGCTTTCTTTTCAATCTTGGACCCACTGTACGCTAGTTTCAAGTGTGCCTATTTAGTTCTCATGGGGCTACCTGACTGAAAACTCAGGTTTCTGAGAGCCAATTTTGGGGGCAGATGCATTTTTGAAGACATCAAGACCTTCGTCAAAGATGCTGATAAGAAGTCTCACAAGGAGATGAAAATGGAGACTTGGCAAGAATCTGTGCATTTTTGTTTGCTGCTGACCACCCACCAAAACTTTTTGTGACATTGACAAGTTTGTGGTCAATTTAGTCAGCCAAAGCAAAGGTCAATACAGCTTTCTGTCTGACACACCAGCGCCAGTGTCCTCGCAAACCACCTAAAGATGAGCGCCAAACAGTGAGTTGTGAAGGTCCTCCTTGTGTGCTCTTTTCATTGATGCTTTGCTTCACTGAAACATTTTTTATGTCAAACCCGATTGAATTGGTGGCGCCCTACTCTTTCATGTCAGCTTCCTTCGCATTCGTAGATGAGCTGTTCAACAAGGATGGGAAAGCAAGAAGGCTTCGAAAACGAAGAAAAACGCAGAGTTCACGACGTGTGGATGGCAGACAAGAAGGATACAAGGCGTCTCAAACATCGATTTGACAAAGTTTTTCCTTTTGGCGTTTTTTGTTTCAATTGTTGAAATCTGTGTCTTCAATGAGACAGCTGCTACAGAAGGCTTGGATGGTTCATCCATGAGAACGTGGAGAGGTTTCCTGGGAAATGGCTTCACGATGAGTTCCGCCTCAAATATGACATGCAAGAGTGCTTGGTTTCCCCACAACGGTGGGGAAAGCCGATGAACAGGCAGGCTGTGTTCAAAAGGCTGTGTTAAAAATTTGATAAAGTTTGTTTGGACTGAGAAAATATCTGTTGGTTTCCCTGTTGAGGCCACGAGTATACCGCCTCTTCTTCGATCGCTCCAAGTTCGCATGGCGTGGTCCCAGTCTCCGCCACCTTTTGAAGCTTCTTTGTCCCCTTCGTGAATTGAAGCTTACTGCAGATGATATGTACATTTTGACCAAATCAGAAATGGTGCCTTGGTTGTGACCTTTTTCCTTCTAGTGATTGAACCTGGAACCCACTCAAGATGTTGTGATTCTGAGG